TCTTGAGGATACCTGCTTGGAAAGTTTGGGAGACTCTGAATATATTAAGGCAGCTTATTTGTTCAGTTCAAACACATATGGAACAACAATTTATATATACTCCTTAGAATGGAATATACAAATAGAGGTCACGACATTCTTTCACAAATTCCAAATTAGCCACACAGAGATAGGACATAAGACTGAGAACTGCATGTAGGTAATAATGCATATATTCAAGGTGCATTCACATTAGAAGCTGAAAACTTGTCAGAGCTTCCAGTGTATGTATTTCATGTGTATATGTATAAATACAAAATGTGACGCTCACATATCATACATTCTGTACCCCAAAACTACCCCTTATTACACAGCAACCTCATTTTTACCAGTGTTATTTCTGAATAAATAAGCTGCATGCCAAGCCTAAAATATTAAGCTAGATGATACTTTTAGACCCAATGTAACTACAAAAGTTAAGAGTTTTCAGATTCAGTATCCATGATGAAAACTTTTCCCATTTTAACTTCCTACAAGTTATTAAACCAAATACATCAAAATTCTTTCTTTCATAAAAATGTCTTGTTTTAAATGTATACAAACCTGAAAAATATGTTTATTTGCACACATATTGTCCATGAAGTTATCTATATCCTTTACAAAATCATCAGCATTGAAAAGGGACCTTCATAAGGGTGTGATGGCTAGCTGTCATGCTTCAGTCAAAACCATAATTTAAAAACATTTGTGAGAATCAATCAGCATATATCTTGAGAAGTGAATCACAAAATAAGTTTTCCTTACTTTGGGATGACAAAGTTAACCTAACGAATTGTAGCCAAACATGAAATGTATGGTACAGGCAGAGCTATGAGCAGACCTGCATGGAAAGATTAATCAACAGTTTTGTATGTCAGCCTCTACATAAGGCCAAGTACTGAATCAGTGTTAAATTCCTTACACACAGCTACGCCCTGTTAATCTGCTTGAAAGCAGCAAACTATGTGAATCTACTTATGCTGGTGAGATAAACATTATACTCCTCAAAATGTAACAACATGCAGCAAGAATGACTGTTACTTGGCAAAGCTGACATCAGGAAGAAAATAAACGTAACACCTCACAAAACAGGTTGTCTTACAACTAGCTCATCTCAAACGGGATCTACCCACCCCCCCCAAAAAAGTCAACCAATTTATCCCAGCAACAGCTTGCCATCCGGCTTTCATTTGAAGAAATCTGAGATGAGTGGAACCTCAAGGCCTACAAGGACTTAAAAATCTCTGTTCATTTTTCTTCCAGCTCTAGAGACACTACTTCACAGAATGAACAGCGAACCTTGTTTTAAATCTACCTCTGAAGAACTGTTCTGCCTCACACTAACCTCCATATGAAACAAAACTGCAGGCTAAAAAACAGTATTTGTATCATCGTGAAAACCCCCTTATTTTCTTATTTATACCTATAGAGTTTAAAAGAAACAATTCTGCTTTACACACACACACACACACCAGAGTATCAGATTGTGTGAAGGTTTCTAAATTCATCTGATAAAAATACATATTTGGAAAAGAAATTGTGCTCTAATAAAGATTTCTTGTTGGGAAACACCATTTTGATTTTTGATCCTGGAAAGCATCAAGAATTTTCAGACATTGCTACTATGGCTTGGCAAATTGCTATTTAAATATAAGCATATAGCCAGCAAAATAAGAATATGTGCAGACCTCAACAGCATTAAACTGACCTGTATTAGTCATTCAGTTACTACTAGCTTTTAAAGTAACCTGACCTAAGCTCAAGAGACGTACTTTAAGCATGTTCCATTCTGTTCATAATGCAGGAAAATCCTGTTTAGCATATGACTTAAGAGATCGGTGTTCACTGCTCACCAAAACACTCTAGAGAACAGGAAAAGAACAGGCACCACCTATCTCTTTCTGACCGGAAAAAAAAGAGGTAGCTGACTGGTTCCTATGACTAACATAGAATACAGAAACAAAAAGAAGTGTAGCAGGTCTTTATTCAGAGTACTTTAATTGCACATTCCTTTGTAACACGAACAGGTTATTTAAGTGACAACATCTTCTTGCACATATGGAAGACACATGGGAATATTTTCAATGTGTATTTCTACTAAATCTGATAAAATGTATCTTTCTTTGGCTTCTACATTGTTCCAAGTTGTCAGCCCCTGCAACCTGCTAACTTGGGACCATGTGTAAGCTAAGGAAAATTCATTACCCCTCTATGCTCAGCTAAGGCCTCAGTCCTATAAACACTCCTTGGAAGCAAACCCCACCAACCTCTACAGGACTTAATTCAAAGTAGACACGCATACGACGGCACTGTCAATGATAATAAAAATTATTTTGCAAATAGTTGAATAGGTTGTGACACACACTTTGAGTATTGCGTTTTGGAATAAGACAGTATATACTTCGGGTCAATTTGACTGTAACTGTATTGCTATAACATAAAATTAAAAAAATTCAAAGAAAAATAAACCACCCTTAAATTCTATTACTGTCCACAGTTGCTTAAAAGGGGATCTGATATGGCAAGAATGTGGGCATTTTAATACCTATTTCAATGTTCTTTGGTTTTAAAAGATTTATATCACTCTGGTAAACAAAGAATTGCATATCTGTTGAAAAAGAAATACAAGACTTGCATATGTTTTAAAATAACTAGTATGTACCTAGTCGAAGTACTATTGCATGCACGCGAAAACTAGATTTTATCATATTTACTACTGGGGCTATGACATCAACTTCACCCAACTTTTAATCATGTGAATTAATAAAGGCTTCAGCAAAAAAATAAGGCAATAAAAAGCACTTTCAAGTGAGCATGGGCCACAGTTTGCTCCAATTAAAACCAACAGGAGCTTGTACAGGCTAGAATCTAGGCACACTCAGCCTGCCCCAGCCTCCCCCCCCCCCCCCCGGTGTGGGAAGCATTTCACCAAAGAATGGCTTGATGCCAATAAGGGAGTCTTTGGTATCCTGGGTCTTAGGGCTACATAATGACCACACATTCATTTTTTCCTCCTCCCCACTGAAAGAGAAGTCTGTTTGTTTTTCTGATTCAGTCAGCCCTTTTAGCTCTTTGAATTCAAGGAGTGCACTATGAAAAGAAGAGCATCTTATCGGTGTGTTCCAGACCAGCAGGCCGACTCACATCCGCATGCAAAACATACAGCCTTCCAGTAAAAGGCTCACCCTCTGTGCTCGCCCCCACCTTCCATCACTAACACCCCATGGTGCCACTGACAAATCAATGAACACACAAGACTCTAAAAAGTGTCTGGCTTAATTAACTAGCTTTTCAGACTTCAACACTCCCAAGTATTTGTTCACATACTATTTGCAGAATGGTCCTGGAATAATATTATCCTTACTGTATCATCCACATGGTGTGACTCCCTTTGAGAGAGGGAGAAGGGCCTTTACGTAATTAAGTTAAAACCTGAAATTGATCCTTGGCAAAATATTGGTACAAACAGAATGGTTAAATATTAATTTAATAGGCTTGGTTTGTTCATGATTAAAATTACTTCACAAACTGTGTAATATCCTCAAACATGATCAGAACAGGGGAAAGCTTTAAAGATTACATCAATGGTCCATTAAATTTTTAGCAGAATCTGAATTGTGCATCATCATCACCTATTTATTTCTTCAGTGAATCTGAAACAAAGGAGGAATCTGTTCCTGTAAAATTACTAGCATCTGAATATTCATTCAGTCTGTTGTTATCTCACAAAAATCATCACACTGATTCACCACCTTAAAGTGGCAGACAAAAGATCCAACTCACCAGGTTTATCTCCCCCAGGTTTATCTCTCCCAGTCAAATTCTTGCTAATGATCATCCCTAAAAGGGGAGGTTTGAGAGTCCATATATGTACATGTGTACATACAAGCTAAATAATTCTGTGGACAGCAGAGCAAAAATCAAAAGGAAGTGAACTGCTTTCTAGTGAACAGTGAGAAGTTTAGAAAACAGCACTTTCTCCACTCCTCTCTCCTTTTTAGAACAGGATATTGGTAAGAGCATTGCAGGAACTTGGCTGACTAAAAGGTCCCCATTTAGGGCACAATTAAATCAACATGTCAGACTGAGACAGCAAACCCCATCGCATTTATTTGAAACTAATTTTCTTGCAGTCTGGGACTGGGTAGAGAAGGGCGGGGTAAACAAAGCAACAATAATTTCGTGTAAGTATCCCTCATCACATTTTAACTACACTCCCATACAGATAATAGAGGGGGAAAGGCACGAATGCATCAATAGCATGCGTCCTTGAGGATTTTTCCCCGCAGAGCCGAAAAGGTTCCTTTAACTCAATTTGCTTTTAATTTGGGGTAACCTACCCCCTCTCTGGAACATCAAACTCCATAACAACAGTATTTCGCGTACTCCATGTACATGTTTACGGTCGCGATGCTTTTTGTTTCTTTATTTTTGTTTTGGGGGATCCCACTCCCTCCTGGCTGTTTCAATAAAACGGAAACTGTCGGCCTTAAAGTTTCGATTTGCAGTTCGTGTCGTCGCAGACTCTAGCAAACCTTCAAAAGAGAAGAGGACACACAAAAAACTTGCTGCGGGGCTCGACAGAACCTGCTCGAGCTGCAGACAGACAACTTCGTCGCACTCCGAACGCGTGGAGCTGCCCAGCTTGGCTCGCCTGCCTAATCTATTACCACGAGGAAAGCTGCCCTAATTCCTTTCTAAAAAATCTTGCGAGACGGTCGAGCATGACACAACTTGAGGAGGGAGGCGGAAAGCAAAAAGCGAGACACTGGGCTGCTGTCTACAAGACGCGGGGGTGGGGGGAGACGAGCGGTTTTGCTCACAGGCGCTTCCCGAGCAAGTCACAACCACGGCAAGTTCCCACCCCTCCTCCTCCTCCCGCCGAGACCTCCCCCGCGTCTCTCCCCACTCCCATGCCCACCCCTCGCACAAACATGGCAAGTCGGATCCTCTCCTCCCGCCCGCGGCACACGCGCCTTTACCTGTTTCCTATAAGGAGTTCTGCCGCCGCCCGCAGAGTTGCTGCTGCTGTTGGGGAAAATCATTGCCCAGCCTAAGCCCGAGCTTCCCCTCCGGACGGGAAGCAACTTCTGCAGCGACTTGGCTGGCGCGCGAGAGAGGGAGGCGGCCGCTGGAAAGCGCCTCTCCCTCCCTGGCTGCTGGGACTGGGCTTCTCCTCTCCTCCTGCCGCTGGCTGGCTCGGCGCCTCCTCCGCCTCCACCCCCCTCTCCCTGGACTGAGTCTCTCATGCAACGCGCCCTGCCGCCGCCGCCCTGCTCGGCCCCTCTCCCGGGATCACGGGCGGCAGCAAAGCCGAGCTGCGCCGACACGACCAGCCGCCCAGCCTGCCCGGAAAGTCACTTCATTGATCTGCCACCGCCGCCCGCGGGAGAGCCGACTTCCTCGGCAGCGGCAGCCACAGGCTCGGTCCCACCTACTAGCGGCCTCAACCACCGCCCAGGGAGAGAAACACAGAGCGCGCGCAACCGAGAGAGGCGGGGGGGGAGCAGCCCAGAGCGAGCCCCGCGCCGCGCCGCCTCCACGCGGCCGCGGCGACGCGGGAGCCCCGCGCCCTTGGCGCCGCGCGCCCCCCGCCCCCCGGCGCGCGCGCCGCTCCCCGAGGCGCGCGGGGTTCTGCGCCC